CGTAAGATAAATCGAATTTATTCGGTCTTCAGTAGGTATACCATATTGTAATCTATCTATCTATCTATTTATATATATATATATATATATATATATATGTTATTATTAGTATTAATATATATGCATGTACACGTACACAAAAGCGAAATAAACACAAACAAGTATCAAAAAACAAAAATGAAATTTGAACAACTAGTTTAGCTTACTCTTTGTATTATGATACATACATACTTTCAACTTTACATGCAAGTAATTATGTATTTATAAGAGAAACTAGCGAGACTTGCACTCTATATTTATTGAATTCATATTGAGGATATAAAACAAGGGCATAACGTACCCTGAATTAAATATATATTTAAATTGTGTTGAAGATCAAGAGCAAATAATAAATACAAGTCCCTCTGATTGAGTATAAATAATATTCTAAAATCTATGCAGTAAGTGCGGGCGCGATCTGTGTTCAAACAATTCAAATTATACCTCAGTAGCCTGTAGGAAAAACATAAAAATACATACGAGAGGTAAATATTTTGTAAAAATAAAAGCAAAAACTAAATGAAAAGCTAATAATAAAGTGGCGCATCTCGATATACTTGCTAATTTCTCAACCGGTTCCTTGTCGCTTATAACGTTTTTTTACCCATGTCTTTTCACGCTCGAACACTCGTAGAAGACTGGCATCGAATATGTAGACCTATAGAGCTGTATAACCTTTTCTCTAATATTATTATTTTCTGGATTTATAATACTTTGTTATAAGAGAATATTTTAAGAGCGTGAATTTATTTAATAAAAACATTTTGCAAGATTATTTATTGTTCGCATAATAAAAAGAAAGTAATTTGTTTCCAATTCTATTATACGGGAAGATGATTGTTTATTATTTGCGACGTTAAATATCAAAATGCTTTGGATTAAATCAAGAGGAATCAGTGGGCAAAATAATACCATTATAACTTCCTATAGCAGCATTAATCTGAAATATTTCCAGTCTATAATAACTTGAATTATAGATTGACATTCGAATGCCAATGAAATTTAATATTATATCGTTTTTTAAAGTCATGACGTATATATGATAATGCTATATTATACTTGGATTTTTATTTTTGATGAAATTCATTAAACTGTGACTGCTTCGGGATTACAACATTTTTTATACAAGAAATTATGACAAGAGATTTTTTGCTTTGACACAAATTCTTCCAAATAAAAAATAATGAAGTACTACACATGTGTTACAATAACTAACAATAATTCTCAACAGTAGTTAGCGACCAATTAAATATGTATCCATTATAATTACTTGAATAAATAGAAAGTCCTTTTTAAAATTATCACACGTTTAATTATTAGGAGAATATAGTGTATTTACGTATATAACATAATCTTGTTATACACCTAATATAAATGCTTCTTTAAAAGGCAACTATTTTCGTATTGCGTTCTTTTACAAATTTTTATTATGCTTATTACAATTAGAATAAAAAATAACAAATAAAAAACAAAACATAATACAATGTGCATATATTACGTTCTGTTACATCTTAATAAACAAATATTCAATACTTACATATATTCAATTTATTATGAAAATGTTAATATTTAACATCAAATTAATCGTAGATTTTCTTTTCAAGAGCAAAAACTTCACTACATGTATATTTCTATTTAAATAATTATTATTTCCAATAATCGGATATTGTTATATTCTTATATTTCACATATTGTCCATTAATTATAAAAACTTACCCGAAGAATTAATTTTTATTTTCTATATTTGTTTTTTAACCAAGAAAATGTAAATAAATATATATTATTTATATCATAAGATTTTAGTTTTTAGCTTATACAATTTAAGAAACACGTATAATTAAAGATAAATGTAATATAAATGTAAAATAAATGTTAAATAGTAAAATTATGTGTTATAAATTATATGCTATAATGCAGTATATAATACTTTTGATGGAGTAATTATAAGAATATGTATTTAAATTCAACAACAAATATTTTTAATATATTGATTCAACTATAAAAATGAAATCATACATGACTCGAAAATGAGTTTTACAATAAAATTTTCTATTTTTTAAACAGCCTATTTAGTAAAAAATATATTTTAATATAAACAAAATTTGAACTTATCCGTTGTATATATTTGATTAATAGCCTTTCTTTGTACAAATTACATATGAACTCAATTTTTATAACTCGTGACAAAATTAATTCATTTTTTCAATGATAAACAGATTTGTATATTTTATTAAAATTATATAAAAATATTTTAAGAAAATATAAATATAAAATTGATGTATACTGATTAATTTCATACTAATTTGATAACTTCAAATATATATATATATATTAACTTAATATTATTTATATGTATGCATGTGTGTACGTAACAAAAGTTGATTTTAAAAATTAAATTAAAAAATAATTCAATTATGTTGATCTAATCTTTATAAAAATAATGCTATATGATTCATTAATTTAATACCGTTTATAAAAATAATAGATTTTTATTATGGATGTTTAAAAGATATATATTATTGTTTTAATAGAACAACTATTACTAATAATATAACATATTTCCTACAAAAGAATATCAAACATTTTTGTAAATTTATATATATATATATATATATATACTTTCATCACTATATTTTCATCAAGGATAATAACAGAAAAAGAAGCATGCAATTAAAAAAAGATAATTAAATTTAACAATATAAAGAAACGTTTATTTTCTAGGTAGAATCAGATGAAACTGTCAATATGCTCATTAGCAATCCGTGCTACATGGTTCAGTTCGTTAAACTTTTTACAAATGCACAACTATCTTCTTTTCACAAGTTTTACGAATACTGAGCTTTGATATACATTGCACGATAATCTTTTGGCTTTTTGATATTTAATAATAGTGAGATTTTATTGTTCCTTATATAATTGCTCATTAAATTCTTGTAAAAAGCGATAATGATTTTAACAAACCAACAATGTTTGTATAATGCGAGTCTATTGCACCTGTAGACGTTATATGAGCAGGATTTTTAAATTCATAATGCACACTGAAAAGATTATAAATATAACCAATAAATATAAACAATACGCCAATTCTTAGCGAAATAACTCATTCAAAGATAGTCAGCTCTAGTTCACCTCCCGTCGAACATTATGCTTACAGTATTTTATTTATTCACTCTTGAACATCTTACTAATTGAACCATAGCGTATCTATTTTATCCAATTATGCCCTATATTTTAATAACTTTATAATGTAATAATGTGAAAGTTAAGAAGCTACTTTTTTTATTGAAAGAAAACAAAGGTGCGAATAAAATTTTTTTTAATGTGAACAAAATTATGTAATTATGTAAAATACATAAATGCATAAGTGTAAAATTTAAATTTATTTTAAAAATTATATTCTTTTACTTTAAATTAGCAAAATTAATCGAGATTCAACGATCTTTGATAATTTATTATGATTCCAAAATAGCATCTCGATTTCTTGCAATCAAACTACATGTGATGTTGAATAATGGTAACCAATCACAATAATATTTAGCTCTTCATGTATGGATAAATGTTAATTCTTTAACTTTACAACATTGCCTAAGGTTCAAAATATTGCAACGACAGTTTTATCTCTAGCTTAGATTATCAACATTGATAATGAGGAAGTTTCAATTCTTCTATTAATTAAATTCATCCTTATTTCAAGGAGAGCATAAAATCGAAGAATAAATATAAAATTATGAATAATTAAGAAATTCTGATGGTAGTATTGCGCAATCTATCTCAAGATACATTTATTGGCTCTCTGAATTCATTAAAATTAATTATAACAATCTACGTTATAATAAATAATCTTATATACCGCATTTTAATGTTGCGATTGTTATTCCTTATGCGCAGCATTAGCAAGATAAGGACATCCATATTACCGTGCTATAAATTGTATTACGACAACTAATCTAAATTAGTATAAGAGGTCATTTACCCTATCGTAATAACAATCATAGTTTCTTTTAACGAAAGCAAGGGAAATTTTCACGGTGAATAGGCCAGATCGTAATGATGGAACTGCAAGGGGAGAAATTATGCAGAGCATATGAACAGCCACGGCAAGAACACACAGCTTTCGTACAATGAAGGGAACGTCGGAAAGAAATCAATAGTATAAAAAAAATAATATAAAACGAATACTATAAACGCAAGTCTTCCTACAATGAATGACTTTGTATAAACTCGTGCTTATGTGCTCTTAAGCGACGAAAATTATCCGACAAGCTTGTAAAATGTTATCGCTCTTAGTTAGCCATATTATCTCTTTAAATATACTATTTATTTGATGTGTTATAAGCACAAGTTATTTTAATCGGTTTAGCAATCTCGTAGGTCCTTAAATAATTTATCGACTATTAGCGATTGGCTGTACTCGATGAATTTTCAAATACTTCGCGAAAGAATTGTTTTATCGCTGTAGTTTAGCGAGAGTAGGGTAGACTTCCGAGAGAAAATCAATACAATTTCCATTAATCGTTTATAAAAATATATAGCATATTTATATTTCGTAAACGAAGGAGCCTACGTGCAGCCAAATGTATCTCGACTCTCTTCGATCTATCTATCTATTGAATAAATTGACAAATCATTATTTTCGCGTATGGACCGATAAATGCAAAATATTCGGGGTAAATAACCTTAACGATTTAAGTGAAGCTTAACACTTGATAAAATTCTTTCGACAAAGAAAAAAAAATAATGGCGAATAATCGGAACGATAGGTCGGGGCCAGAATTTAGCCTGATATAAAGATAAATAAACGTGTGTCGGGCTATGATGCAGCATTCCAAATATCGAGTTTGACGGGAGTCGCGAAGAGCATGATGGGGGGGGGGGAGAAAAAAGATATCAACAAAACAACCAGTAAAAGAACCGTTACAAAAATTTTTAAATCAAGGAAGGTTAATGGAAGGAAAACTTACAATGTACTCGCGTACGGTATTATGGAATATCTGCTCCCTAATATCCGCCTCATCTTCCATCTTTCGGCCCGTCGGTATCTTCAACAGGACACGGGAATCGTAGCTGGGAGCCACGCGACATATTAGTCCTTCTTATGTGGATTCGATGGACACCTCCGCACAATCTCGCTATGCATCCGAATCTTCTCAATTACATCGATAGGCGCACAATTCGCACGCGCGATTTCTTCACTTCGGCAAACTCATTCAAACCATCGCACGTTTAATACTCATCGGGCTTTTATATCACCCGAGTATCGCAACTTTAAGACGTTTCGAATTTACGCACCAAGGAAAACACGCACACGCACACGCACACAACGCACGAGTCAATTGCATTTACTTCGCCTCTCGCTATCCCCCCGTTTATTTTATCGAGTGCGGAGGGAAGACAGGAATGTTGACGCGCCTCGTTTCATTTAAACTCGCGTGCACCTCGCTACGACTACCGAAGGCAGCACACTAATCGAGCAAACGATTGATTCACGTCGCCTCTCGCCAAGGCACTGCGACATATTTTCCCTATTCGCCGCTTCGTCACGTTCCTGTACGTGTACATTGTATTCTTCGATGGTGCGCGCGCGCGCACTTTTGCCCTTGCGTGCGTCGTATGTGGTTGTGGTGGTGATGAACCCGTAATCCCGCGGTATTCTCACTACTGTCGCTGATTACTCTATGCGCGATTAATCTTAACATCTGATTTTTTTGCGACTGATTATAGCTAGCGCCACCGAATTAAAAAAAAAATTGACGTTAATTTCTATGCTTGGATTTCAATTACTTAAGAACGATGTTAAAAAATCTTAAAAATACTTGGGCCCTCACCAAACAAACTTTTAAGCGTCTATTTTCAATTGACGCAACATTTTTATAATAACACTGTTTAGGAATTGATGTTGAATTATCCGCTTGACTTCACTTTAACAGGATATTGTCACAAAATCGATTTAAAACTGACAGCTGATAGAGAGGGAGGGAGAGAGAGTGAGAGCGCGATTGTGCGCATGCTCAATAATTTCCATCGCAGCACCATTAGCTCAAACAAGGAAGAGTGGGGGGCTTTGCATGTAAATTTAAAACGTGAATTGTTTGAAAATTCATAAAAAAAAAAAATTAAATTGGTAAATGCTTGCCGAGATACGTGAAATCGATTTAATTACCCTACAGATTTTTTTCTCTTCAAGATGGCGTGGCAAAATTCTCTATTGGATTCAAGACTCTTAAAGTGAATTTAAATGCGGCGAAGCTTAATATCTTCTAAAGCCTAGAATATACAGCGAGCAAAGCATTAAAAGCATCCATCAACTTAATTAAATATCTTTTATTCGCCGTGCTTAAATAAGTTTTTGATATATTATATGCAAGATTGAATTACATTCTCATTGAAATATGCTATTCGTAAAAATATGATATTGTTCAAAGAACTAATAAATAAATATAAATATTACATAGAATATGTAACACTGTAAAATTATCATTGTGTACAATGTAATAACTTGTATGTCTCGTGTTTTCAATTTTATGAAAGTATGTAACAATTATAATTACATCAATACTGTCACACACGATAATGACTATATTTGCATTGTGTTAGTTAATCGTATATACATAAGTAAAATTATTACTATTATTATTATCACTATTGTAATTATTAAAAAATAAAGAATTTTTTTTAAATTATCATTAATTAAATAATTTCCAATCAATTTCTTCCATAAACTTTCTAATTCCTTGTTTAAGCGTTCAACACGCTCATTTATTCGTTGTTTTTTGAGTTTTGAAAATGTTTATGGACAATGCATCAACCAAGATCTGATCTAAAATGTTCTCTAAAAAGATCTCGTATATTATGAGGATCAGATATCGTTTTATATGCTTAACAGACTCATCCACACTTCTAAAATTAAAATTAAAATATATTAGTTTTAAAATATTTTATCAATGTTAATATTGATTAATATATATTAATTTTATACTTCCACCTAATTGAAGTTCTACTTTTAACATTATTTGTATATTCTAAATCGTTGAAAACACTATTTTTCTAATTATTAATTGAATTTTTGTCCAATACATCTCTTTGCCTCTGCTAAATTATTAATTCTGTGAACCAAACAATTGAAAACTGCTTATACATAAATAAAACATTTACATAGAATTATATATTATTAATTTCAAAGTATATTAAATGCATTTTACTAATGAAATATGAAAATTATTTACTCTTCACTTTTAATTATTTTCTAACATTTTATTAAGACCCTCGACTTCATTACCAGAGGTACAAGCATATACAATTTTTGAGGTATTCGTAGTATCTGCAAAGAACTAATTCAAATAGTCTTTTAAAGTGATTTTTATTATTAAATTAATAATATCCAATTTTAAAGAATAGTATTTAAGTAATAATTAGATTTGAAAATTAAATTAATATTTAATCCAAGACTTAATTACTAAATTTAAATTTTCAATCACATTTTTATAAATACTCAAATTGAATAAAATATTGGCATTTATTAAACTAACTTTTAATTTATAAACTCACCTGTTATTCCATAATTTGGAAGATGAAACAGCTGTGATTAATAACATTCGTTTCATATTATTTTCAATTAATTTAAAAACATAAGCATTTTCTTTGGAAATGTTTGCTACAAATCAAACTGCTATTACTAATTTTTTCACCAATGTTGATAATCCATTTTGCAATCAATTCATCTTTCATTAGAATACTGTACATTGGTATTTGTAATTGTAGAATATTATAAATGAAATTAATTATATTTATTAAAATATACTACTCATTTATGTAAAAACATAACAGATAAATTTTTCAAATTTATATAAAAAACAAATAAGAGTAAAATGTATAAATATAATAGAAAATTAATAACAGTTGAGCATTGATATAAACTCGTTAAGAACGTTTACCAAACAATAATTTAATGGAAAGTAATGAGAATGTTGATCAACATTACAAAATTTATGGATAATAAATTTTTATTATTCCTAATTTTAATAATAATAATAAATAAAATAATAAAACAAGAAATAATTTAGACTATTAAACTCAAATCTAAAGGACTGTATTTTATAAAGTATTTTACTATTAAAATTTATTTGAAATAAAACTAAAATTAAATAACTGTTAATTAATATTTATATAATGAAAGTCTTATTTCAAAGTTACATAATGATTATTATATAACACATAATGAACACATAATGATTATTATATTTATAATAAATTAAGAAAATATATTTAAAATAAAATGTATCCTAGTAGTTATGTTAATAAGTTATTAAATTAATAAAAGCTAATAAATTGTTTATTATTTATTATTTGATCATTCATTTATACTTTATAAAACAATGTTATCTATATTCTTAATATTTTGACGAAATTATTAAGGATTCATTAATTTAGCAAATATTAACTAAAATATATTATATTTATATATAAATAATATTAATGTGCATACAAATTTTCTATAAGTAAATAGTTACAGTATAAATAAGACAATATTCAAGGTACGTAACCATACGCATAATAAAATATTTTCATACTTATCAAATAAAACGTCGGCAATTACTCCTTCAATTATACAAATTCTGCAATATCTAACCATTTTAACTATTCTTTTTCTTTTATAATCTGTTACGGTGTCAGTTTTAAATACATTCAACCCTACATAATTAAATATGTCATAAGAGGTAAAAGTCCTAAAATTTATGTACAAAATATTATTTTCATAATTATATATATTATAATGACATACCTATCTTTAAAGATTATGCAGAATCTCATTGTAAATTGGATTCTGTGCAGTAAAATTGTTAACTGATTTGCTTTAGATATATGTGTATAATTTGTATATATTTATAGTTATAATTATTTTGTTCAAAATAAATATAAACAATATATATATATTTAGAGTACTAATCGTTAACTAAATTTAAATTGTACATTGGTGCATATTTAGATCCGGATGTAAAGCGTAAATAGTAAAAAACTGATAAAAACTTTATTAATATTTTTTCTAAAATTATGATATAAATTTATTAAATTTTATATATTTAACTCATTTCTACACACATTTGTTTTCATAAACTATATTCATTCAAAGTAGAAATATCTATATAATATTAATTATAAAATCAATTACTAATTTAATATAATTCCTATTTCAATATTACAACAAGCACGATTATAACAATATAGTGTTATTATTTGACAAGCTATATGCATACGTAAATTTCATTAACGCAGATTTAATATTAAAAATCAGCTATATAATTCACAAGTTTTCAATGACAAAATTGTTAAGAAGTAAAAATTATTATGCAAAAATATTGCTTAACACCAAAATGACCAATATATATTGGCGAAGAAAATCCAAATGAAATTAAATATTTAAATATCAAAATTTTTTAATTAAAAATTTTACATTAAAAACTTAATTATTTTAACTTATTTATTTGAGCATTTCGAAACAACAAGATATGTATAAAATATTATTTACATTATAAAATTATAAATAATACTTGATATGAATTATTATTTAAAATAGATGAGTTAGAAAAATTTATTTATTCACCAGCAGTCATCAAAATTTAATTAAAAGCAGAAATTAAAAGAAATATTTTATTTTAATTGCAATATAATAGAATTATAATTTTTTTTTAACAAAATTTATTTTAATTCGAGATTAAAAATTATTTCTATTTAATACAAAGCCATTCCAATAATACACATACAGATGGACAAACACACGTTCACATATACACATTTATATATATATATATATTTATATAGGTATGTACACCAGTCAAAAATAACGAACATTTTATATAAAAATAATGTAACATTATTAAACGGAAAAAATAGAATTAATGCTTTTGAATCCTAGCCTGTAGGTAAATTTTTTAACTAACGTTTTAAACATTACATTAAAATAGATCTTATAATGAATACATTTATTGCTTCAGGGCATTCCTAAAATAAATAAAATCGTTTTGTAATTTATAATAATAAGTTTAAAATAAAATTATAACTAATTATACTCACTTCTTCTGGAAACCAAACATATTTAATAAACTTTGTTGACCCTGAATTGTAATATTCTTTTTTGTGCTACTTTTAACACTTCGTCGAGTCATTCTGCCACCCTATTTATTTAAAAAATTAATAAGATAATAATACATTTAATATATTATAAATATATGTCAATAGTACTTAATTAATTTGAAAATAAAGAAAATTTGATATTTCATATTTCAAAGCTTAATAATATTTCAAAAGAATTTATAGTAATTAAACTAATCTTTAAGAATTGTAAACATTTCATACTAAATGACATATTCTTAATTAATTATGTATCACTTAAAACTGTATCATGTTGTAGTAATATTTAAAATAGAAATTGTTCTATCTTAACAATATATATTACCAATGATTCAGTATTTCTTGAAATACTGTTAGTATAGTTGTCATCACTTTTTTGTGTTTTGTTCCTTAATGGACTTTCATATTTGAACATACTGGAGTTAAATTCTGAAAAATCCTTATGAATCATAGATAGTTCTATGTTATTTTCATCATTAATTATTTTACAATTATCATTATTTTCTACTTTTAAGTCCTCTTTTAATTCTGATTTCGAATTTGTATTTTTTTTTAAGAAATTATCAACCGCGTGAAACGGTTGCTTATCACTTAAATTATGGCCATTTATTGCTAAAATATCATCTCTTTCATCGCTAGATCCTTTGTATCCACTATCTTTATTCACATTTTCTTGTGCTTCTGTAAACTAAAAATGATTATGAAAATATATTTTCATATACATAAAAAAAATCATATTAAAAAAAACCATAAGTGACACATTCAGAATGTATACATTTAAATGTTAAAAAAAGCTTTTACAAAATTCAAACCAACCATTTCATCTTCACTAACATCAGATTCTGGTATAATTTTTTTATCATCATAAATAATCACATTCTCTTTACAGTCCTCTTGACTAGCATGTGTAATCATAGACTCTCCAACTTTAATTGACTCTTCTTCTTCTTGCACATTAACTTTCGGATTAGTAGAAAAAAATTTGCTTTCCTTAATAGCTGTGTCATCTATTACAGTTGGCTTCAATCGACTCTTCACTGGAAGTCGCTTCCTAATCCTCTGCAGCAGACTTGGTGATATCTCATCGGTTTCAATTTTTCTAAATGGATTTGACCTCCTGACAAATACTGGTGATTTCTTTTCTACATCTATTAAACTATGATTGATCTTTTCATTCGTTGATTCTAACTGCATTGATTGATTAGGTGATACTAATTCATGTTGACTATAGATTTTAATTACATCTTCTATCGATTCTTCAGATTCTAAATATAAAGATAATAAAATGTTATAATATAGCGTTCAACTCATTCGATTTTAATACAGAGGCATTTTTTTATATCGTTGAAATAATTCAAATCTTAAAATAATGTAAATGTTTTAAAAAGATAAACCTTCGTAAAAGTCATGTCATGGATTTAAATAAACAATGTTAAAAGATGTATGTAATTTGAATGAAATAGAGCATGAACACTAGTAAAATTAATTGTATCAAATGCTAGTTGCTGCGATCATTTCATACGAAACACAAATGAAAATTATAAATGAAGATCTGAAGTTAATTTATAAAACGAATAATCGCAACCTAAATTAACAGTTGTAAAATTTTATTTCTAGTAATGATCATCAAAAAATATGAATCATTCTATACATACACATTATTGTTTCTTAAGCCAATTTCAAATTTGTTATGTTTCAATATGTAAATCATCAATTAAAATTTTATGAAAAATTGACGTATTTTTACATTTCTATTGTTACAAAGTACATTAAACAATTAAAAAACGATCGAGTAAAAATAAATATCGAAACGTCGTCTCGTTACGAACACTGATATTTTTTGAAAATAGCTAAACTATTAAAAATTGTTTAAACCGAAATGTCAAAAATATTAAATTTTTTTTTAATAGTTAATTTTAAATTATCAATCCTTATCAATCTAAGTATACTTGCATATTCTTACTTTTACAATTTTAGTTTCCTTTGTTAAACTTACTTTACTTTAATATGACGGGCATACGGTGCACCTAAAAAAATTAATTTCATAGAATTAAAAAGACTATCTTCATAATTTAATTAAAGTAATCTAAATAATTTCAAATGAACTTAAAAATAATTTGAAATTTAATAAATTTACAAAACAAGAAATTTCTTTGAATCTCTCTTAGGAAACAAATAGTCTTTCAGAATCTTTAGAAATTCTAGTCCCCTATTTGAACAATACCGTAGTTTTAAAAACTATCTGATTAATTGAGATTAATGATTCATAATAACAAATATAATGTTAATACATTGTTTGTTGGCTATACGATGTATAAAATAAATGTCTAATTTCCATATTTATCCCATTAATTAATTTACACTAATAAAATATTACACATTATTATATGTTCTTTAATTTTATGGATTATATGCGTTTAAGGTCCATTATACTTCACAAGGTTCAGAGAAAACTAAATTTAACAAGCCAGTAAGTAGCAATTGTGATTAAACTATTCGATTTATAGGTAATAATTAATGTTCCATATCTTTCAAGTTCAGACTCAAAAATAATCACTGAGTGTATGTATTGAAAAAAATTTTTGTAATAGTTATTTTTGTATCGTATGTGTATAAAGTGGTTTTATTGGTTTTATCAAATACATGAAATTTCAACATGCAATTGAATATTCAACCAAGTACCAATAATACCGATATATTACTTTCAGAAAATATTTTATATTTTATCCACTCATGGGCAACAGTGAACTTAAAATAAATAATTTACTTCTATTTTTCGTAAATGCGTTTTTTCTCTTTTATAAATGAAATCAATATTTTAAAATATATTTTTTATATACTTATCGATTAAAATGAAAATAATTATATATTCAAATGTATTTAATAATTTTGTTTATTATTTTGTTTACCTAAAATGCAAATAATAATATAGGATTAATATTTTTTGTGATTAAATATACTTAAATTACAACCTTTTATACTGCTATAAATCCAATAAAAATAAAAATATTTTTTCAAGGATATAATATAATATTGTTATATTTTTTTCATTACTATAATACAATGAAGATCTAATGAGCTGAGAGTTCAACTGCGCAAGTCCCGACGCTATTACACTCGGTAATAAACATTTTTATGGAATTTAGAAATAACATGGCGATTTTTCGTTCAAAGTGCGTACTACAAATGTAATTACTCAAAAATACTAAAAATCAAGGATTTTAGTTTTTTATTAAGTAAAAAACACTGAGAAAAATTAATTGTTTTATACAAGAAGAGGTAATAGTATAGAGTACATAATAAAATAAAGAGAAACTGTAGATGTGGATTGCGTATGTGTCGCAGTTAACGGAGGTTATGGCTTTATTACTTTACTCCTGTGTACAAATTTATGGCGAGTATGATTAGAACATTCACTGTATTGTGTTCTGTTGTCCGTCTTGTTTGGATATCTATTGCATAGTATTTGTGAAAATTAAAAATTGTATTATCCGATAAAAATCCGTTTAAAATGCACACCAAAAATAAAAGACAGCTAAACGAATGTACACTGTACGGTAAGGTAATGAAAAATGAAATCAGTATGGATACAAATGACAAACTAAATACAGATACTGATGATTACTGCCAAGTAAGCATAGATTCTTAGTTTGTATTCAAGCACATATTAATTTTTAATACATTATTTAATATCGAATTCCGTAGAATAATTAAATTAAATTTTAATATTTAATTTAACTTAAACGATGTGAATTATGTAATTTTTTTTTTTTGCTGAATTGTTATATTGAAGAGTAATTCTTTTTCTAGAGGTCATTTTTTTCAAGCTAATAAAATAATATTTTCAAAATAATTTTTTTACCATAAATAAACATTTTAAATTTTATCACTATTATTAAAGGTTGATATTTAATAATGCCGTATTAATAAATTTAATAACTTATTTTTTATAGATAATAGGAGAATTTTATCATGGAAATGACAATGTACATGATACGTGTAATAAAAATGATAACGATCCTCAAGAAACATTGCATTTATGTGTTAATAATAAAATATCAAACGAGTCAACTTCAAAGTTGATAAATATAAATAATGAGATTAATAATAAAATTACGTTAGAGACAGTGTGGAAAGGTATCACTTCTCTACAGTCTTCTATTACTAATGTTTCCAATTCTTTAGAGACTGTATCAGTACAATTGAATACTTTTGATCCACGTATAAAAGAATTGGAAACAAATTTTAATAATATTAAGGCTAAAACAACAAATTTTGATAATATGGAAAACGATGTAAATAGTTTAAAACAACAAGTTGAGAACCTTGTAAATCAAGTAGAGAATCTAAAATCTAATTATCAAGAAGAAAAAAAGTTAGATTTTTCTGAAATTTTTTGTGAATTAAGACAGAGAGAAATAAAATCCAAAAATATTATCATCTACAATGTAGTAGAAGATAATTTAAAAATTTCACAAGACTACTCAACCTTAGAAGACATTAATAAATTTAATGACTTAATAACTGCAAGAGATAATTCGCGAGCTCGTGAAATACTTGAAAATATTCCCAATATTGACTTAGATGAATTGCATACAAAACGTATAGGAAGAACAGATTCTAATACTTGTCGTCCCCTTCGAGTTATTTTACAGTGCAACAAAGATGTTGTTACAATTATGAAAAATAGAAAATTAGTAAATAGACAGTATAATATCATGACAGATCAAACAAAATTGCAACGAAGAAGATTAAAGGAACTTAAAGAAGAACTAACAAAAATAAACCATGATATTGATAACCCACAAATGACTATCAAATTTATCAACGGTGAACCAAAACTTATACCTATTAGAAGAGACTTTATAAAAAATGAATAATTATTTGAGTTACTCTCCTTAACAATTATTAAGATTCAATAGTTGACATATTGAATTGATAATTATTAAGATTCAATAGTAATATTAGTCCTCTGAACATTTCTCTCTTCATAGTTTATCTATCAACAACATGTACAAAATGAAAACTAAAAGTTATACTCTAAAGTTCATTCATTACTATTAATGGATTTTTTAAATTTTTTAATAGTAAAGGTATAATTATTAGGAAATTAATTACTTTAAAAAACAATAGTACTTAAAACTGGTATATGAAATATATTTATATTTATAAACATTTTATATACATTATGTCGTTAAGTATTTGTATTCAAAGAAAAATATTATTTACTATACATAATCTAAAGAAAGACTGCAACTAAATTTATCTATTTTTATGATAAATATTGCAATTACATTGTGTATTTAATAATTGTACTATACATTTGAGTGCAATTAATGATTACATATTAAAGCGTAATAATTTTAATTAAATATAATTTTTTATTCTTTTTTCTTATGTATATTTACAGTATTTTCATCCAATATATTTTTTTCTTTTTCTTTAGAGATTAATAGAATATGTTGGCCCTTTTAAGTATCTCTTTTAAGTACATTTCTTATTATGTTATATCACAATATACTAATAAGTATCTTTTCAATTACTTTAATTAGTATTATGAAGTTTTATAGAATTTCAAAGTAAAGCCTATTAATTAATGCATTCTTTTAAATAAAGAACTACGTAATTATATTTCTTTGCACTTGAATAATGAATTATTTTACATTTTTTACTTTCAAATTCTTAAGAAACGATAAGTCCAAAATAAAGATTATACTAATATTATTTATAAATCTGTGATATCAATTATTTTTTGATGAAGAATACAATTTTCTATAATTCATTAAATGCAGTTATAGTGAAAAATAAAATTTATTTTTCGACGTGTTTATATATCTATTAATATAATGTGAAATGTAAAACCTAAACAATTATAAATAAAAAATGACAGCATTTTACTATGCTTAAAAAGGGCTAATGAAATATTTTGTTAATAATTGTTAAGATTTATCATGTAAACTGGTTATAATATTTACATATATAATATATAAATACATTTAATTACTTAATATTTTATTTATTCAAGTATCTCAATTATTTAATTGATAAAAATATGCATGGATAAGTTAAGTTGAACAAGCAAAGTAAGAAATATACAAAATGCTGAAAATAATTTGACTTTTAAAATAAATATTTTTATCTTAACAATTTATAATTTTTATATATAAACGATGCATATTGTAAAGTCAATCAATTATATCAAAAATATTTTAAAAACCAAAATCTTGTATCTTAATATTTATTTTTTAAGAGTACAAAACTATTATTGTTTAATTCTAATTTATATTGGTAATTGGATAATATATTAATTCTAATATTACTGCGCAAGCAACAAATTGTACAAAATATCATTTATTAGAATAGATAAAAAAATATTTTCAAAATAAATTGTCAATTACTAAAGATATTTTATTTTATACCCGCAAAATTTCTAAAGAATTTAAAGATGATTAAAAAATGTTATTTGAGAATGGCTCAATTTTTGGACGTCCTCACCTAAACGTTTAAGTATATTTCGCCTAATAGCGCTAAAGAGAGACCACCTGACCTACTCTTCCTATAACCGTTTAATTAAACATTCCCACCGTTACAATAAGGCCAGACTTTTTTTATTAATGTACTTTAAGTTAAATAGCATAATTCATTTCCGATTAAGTGGACAGGGAAAATTTTGCATATTCGGCATTTTTTTAATCTACATCTTTTTTGAACCAATTTCAATGTAAAAAAGTCAATCTCAAAGATATATAATATCATTTTATAGAATTAATTATTAATAATTAAGTTCCGTTATGAAAAAATCTTCATCAGTCTTTACTTTAAAATAAGAAGTATTTTACCAATTGAGCATGCAAAAAAATGAAATAAATTATACCTTGAAAACTCCTCTTTCTCGGTGTCGTCTTTTTTTTCAGAGATTGTGTTTTCATTACAATTACTTGACCACGAGTATTTGATGTCCATACTGGCAAATGTTTTTCTTTCGTAGAGGTTACGCACAATTTTTTATCCCTCTTTTCTTTTATTTCTTTTATCTTGAAGTTTTTCGACCAAATACTCGGATGTTTCGAAACGATATTTTTATCCCAAGCATTTGTACTTTTTGGGAGAACCTTTAATAAAATTTTTCAAAAAAAAAAAAAAAAATAAATAAAAAAAAAGATTTACTATAATTATATTACAAATACTGCTTTCTATCTCCGATTTCAATGTACACCTATGAATTATTATATTTTATATTTTGAAAATTATTACTATGTAATATTAATTTCATTATTTACTATCATTAGCTTTTATCGTGATTATGATTAATTATGAAAAGTTCTATATTCATAAATGACTGATAAAATTGGAAAGAACTTTTAAATATCGTATATTATATTATATTATAACTTTTAAATATTTATATGATGATTTTTATGATTTATAATCAAAATTTACAAACATCATAAAGAAGATAAATAACCATTAAAGTTTAATTTTAATTTTAATTAATATGTCTTTTTTACCATTTGCTGTACAATAGTATTGATTACCATCCAATTTAATAACAAATAATTTAAACTAAATATAAATTTCTATGCCAAGGCCAATGATTATCATTAATTAGTTAGATGATTACCAAACGTATATAAATTATTAACAAATATAAAAAACATAAAAATCCGTAATTATTATTTTTAAAAATTTAGAAATTTGCCTATTTTATATTACAAATTGATTAAACAATTTTTGTTGACATCCTTGCGATTAAATATCGACTAAATTGAACTTGATTTTTCTACGATAAATTTAACTTTTAATTCTTTCATTAAATTAAAATTTCTTAATCGATATTATTAGAAAGAATTGGATATAAATTCAGTTAAAATCATATGCAACTCATCTCAAAATTAATTTTTCCTTGATAATCCTATAATAAAATTCAAGTTTGGTTTATAAGTAAATTACTTCGTAGGTAGTGTGAAAATTTGGATTGGAACAGTTTTAAAGTGACTTAATCTTGATTGATAGGTAAATGTCGCGGTTACCAAAATATCAAATTTAAAATAGGAAACTACAAAAACTCGGATTTCATCACGAGGCTCCGTAAAAAAAAATTTTTTGTTGACAAGTACCGAGTTTAATAACGGCTTATCCCTCTACACCAAGATAAACTAATTAGTGACGTTATTGCAATAAGTTTCCTACATTTAATGCACCAACTATGTATATCCTCATCGGAAATGTATAACTTTAAAACCAAATTGTTTACAGAGATACGAATCAGATAAATAAAAAATAAGTCAGCCAAAATATTGGACGATCACTCGATCTAGTCCTTTCGAAAAGTGATATCTTTCTTAAAAATTGCCATGGATCGCGCTGTACTCATACGCCAGAAATATTGTATTCTAAATGCTGGCACAAGCTCGTACTCACCGAGTCAGGATTGTAATCGTGCATCTTCTCACAAGTGAAGGGGTCGCAGTTGCCGAGGGCCAGTTCGAACGCGAGATACTCGTTTTCAAGCTCCGTCCCGGCGTGCTGAAGCTGTTCCTCGGTAACATTGGCTGTCGGATCACAGAGGCGCACTTGCTTTCGACGCAGTGGGCAGAAAACGAGCTGGTGCTTGAAGGTCACGAGGGCGCGCATGAAACCTTCCCTGTACTCATCCGTCATCACCAGCGACTTCATATTCAGGCTCGACGGCATACGCAGCAACGCCTAAGCAAATTGATTTTGTTTTTTGCATTTCTTTCTTTTTTTTTTCTTTTAACATTTCTCATTGTATTGGATTCAGCTTGAATTAACAAATTGCTCTTATGGTCAGGTGTTAAATTTTTCACGAATCAAACGAATAGCCTGATTTTTAATTTCATGATACTTTTTTCGCATTGCCTGCTTCTTTGTATACTGTCGATTCTATCGAAACATGCATCGTTCAACCATATATTTTTTTAATTTTATTTGTATTATAAATAATGAATTTAATATCATATTTAATGAACTTGTGCATTTAAGTGAGTTGATGTTGGTCTCTTTGATTTCCTTAAAATACATTTAAGTGTGTTTCGATGCGAAAAGATAAATACGTATCGATTGTAAACTTAGCTGCTGTTCATAAAAGTTTTATAAAAAGTATTGACAGACTTTCAAACTCTGAGAAAATTGTATGTCGATACATTACTAACAGATAATACGAAAACACGAACGAAATAAACATGTTTCTTAATTTTCCAAATAAGTAAGAGTAGAATAAGGAAATTTTCATCCCCCCCTCCCCCGCCCGATATACACAAATCAATATTTGAACTAATTATTAATTAACAATTTTGACAATTTATTAAATGTTTTTTTAATTTTTTTTATGTTATTTACTGTATTTCTATGACCGATAAGTTCCTGTTATGTCGATATAAGGCACGACATTTATCTATTACACGATATTACTGCATGTGATAACTGTATGTGATATTTAGCATATAAAATATTCCAATATATATAATATAACTGCCGCGCATGAAATATTGAAACATCTTCATTATTGATTTTTATTATAATAATTTATTTGATTATTAGTTACACTTAATTTTTTTAACGAATAATGTTTCTGATAATAAATAAAAAAATACAAAAATAAGACCATTAAATATTATGTTTTAAATATTGGAAATAAAATTAGAGTACTATCTAAAATTAAGTATAAAAAAATTGTTATGCGTAAATGATAAAAAACTGTTTTAAGTTTGTCTATTAATTGAGAATTAATACTTAAAAAATAAACGCTAATGAATTTTCCAATTTGTATACATAACTATATAATTAATTGATAAAGATATTCATTAAAACGTATATGGCATTTTGATTTATTAAAATATCTATTAAATTCAGAATAAAATATGAATAAAATATAGTAATTGCCACGATTATTTAATAAAGTTGTTTAATTATAATACTATACGAAATGCGAGTGCGGCAACAAACACGTGTATAATAAATTCAATATAGACAGTATTGTTTTCAATCGATGCTAAACAAAATAAAAAAATGTTAATAAATTGGCAAATTATTGATAATAATGTATTAACTTACATTATAAATGTCATTGTCATTATTCTTGATCACAAACTTGTAAGCTTTTCCCAATCCAATTCCAGGAAGAGATGCTAAATAATCACAGCCAGAAAGAATGCACATGTACCGAAATTTATCTATGTGAAAATTTGGTTCTTTCATTCCCATTGCCAAATGCAATCTATCTTGTTCCACCAAAATTCCATATCCATACAAATCCATTTTAAACAATATCTAAAAACAAATTATACAATGACAGTTAAACGAATCGCTTCTTAATAGATTACTTTAATTAAAAGACTAATTTAATTATAATAAATAATTAAGTTAACTAAATCTCTTTATCATAAATACAAATAGTACATGTAAGCACAAATTACACTGATATAAATCAATTAATATGTGTTATTAAATACAATTAAAGTATTATATAGAGTATAAAATTTAAACGATTTGTTTATATTATAAACTACAAAATATCCTAAAAAGAATTTTTTTAACTTTGCTATGAAATTTGTTTCTAGCCAAAAAGCTTATTCTAATAATATTTTATTTCATATTGCTTTGCTCTACAAAGTTTATTTACTAAGAAAATAGAAAATAGAAAATAATAATAATATACTATTCGCTAATCTGCTAATGATATTTTAAATAATTTTATTAATAGATGTGTAAAATTTAAATTACATTAAGCATATTTATAAAATTAAAAATTAGATCTATACCTTTTTACAACCAAACAGAGTGAGATCGCTATCTTCCGTAACTACAACGTCAGCAATTCCAGAAATATTAAGGTAAGCAAGTTGAGCATCTGCCTCATAAGGCGCTACAATACAATCGACATTGCATGCTTGGCATGCCTTAATTACTTCCAATGCCATTTCATGACTGACGTTTAAAGACCGTCGCAAAAGATTTTTTCCTTCATAAGTTTTACCCATTTTTATTAAATCTACTGCTCTTTTACGATTAGCATCTCTCAAACTAAAATACAAAAATTTCAATTATTATTGGCTTTTGAAAACGAATTAAGTGATATTTAATAAATATAGTTAATAAACAATATTAATAAATTAAAAACATCAACATATTACTTTATAAAATGTGTAAAAATGAAACAAAAAAAATATATATATGTATATATATTTTATACATACTGTTTCCTTTTTATTTCCGTTTCACTCTTAGCAGGAAGATGTCTTCCATCAAAAACTAGAATTGGCTTTATATTATGACTAAGTAGCATATGCACAAATTTCATACAGTATTTTACATATCTAAAGGAAATAATTTACAAAATATATTTAATGTTAAAACTTTAAATAAATATATATTATAGCTTGCATATCAATTTGAAATATAGATGAATAATATAAAATTTTGTTTAAATTGTATGAAACTTACAAATCTGTTACTTGGCCCATTATTATTTTATCAGCACAAGAAAAAGATCCTTTGTGTAACCAACAATAAGTGTCAATAGCTACAGTCATACCAGAAAATTCTGAAACATTTGTTTTTCTTGATGACTTTTCCAAAAATGGAATAAGGCCTGTAATACCCATCTAAAACATAATATAAAACAAGTACATAAATAGTAAAATATTCATTTTAATTATAAGAAAACTAATACAAAAAAATAAACCAACAATGTACAGTTAATTATTTAAATGAATAAATTCATTAAACGTTATTTAGAATTTCAAAAAATTTATCGATAAATGAAACTATGGATGCACGTAACACAAGAAATAAAAAGCTAGCTTTTTCAGATTCTTACCTTTAAAATTAAGTTCGAATAAAATGTATAATAACCTTAAAAGAAACCTAAACAATACAAATAATAACATAAAGTGAAAAATGAATAGGGAATTGAAGCAACACGTACGGGCACAATTACAATGGAATATAAATTATTTAACACCTCTCAACATTTTGACCTGCAAATTACGGAGTAAACAATAACAGTGCCAATTAAGCAATTGGCTAAGACTCGGTAAAAACGCGCGAACCAACGACCCGATAACTGCTTATGAAAGTTGGTAACCATATATCGTGCATCATATAAAAAAAATTAAGCAAAAATTGCCTTTTGTCGACACATTTGTGCGTGCATTCTCGTTACTTGAATTATTTTAAGAAATAAGTTTTACAATAAGAGTAAGTCGTGTTCAAGTTGTAAAATCGGTTAACTTATAATCGAAAACTTTTACGGTATTTATGCTGCATCGTTTATTTTACGAATATGTGTACATGCACGTACGCATACGCATATATAGTTCGTTATATTCCTTATAATTATCGACGAATTTAACGAGTCAGCATAATTTGTATAAGATTTTGTTGGGATATATTTTTTTGTACTTATGCAAAAATGATACATAATACTTTTTAAGCAATAAACGCAAGATTGCATAATACATATAGTGACTTGCGCGCGCAACATGCATACACACACCCGATAAAATGTAGGAATAATTAATATTAATTAAACATGTATATATACGTGTTTTTATATTTTAAAGAATATTTATTATCGTTCAATTACTAAAATAATAATATATTTTACAACCATTTTATTAAAAAACAAATTTCCAAGATATTAATTTAAATACATAAAAATAATAATAATAATAATCATCATCATCGTAATCATAATATGACAATAATTTATAACAAAATATAATTTTATATTTAACTATGAAATGTTATTGTACCGTTAATCATTTGTATTAAACGGATATTAAGATTAAACGGACGGACATAATTGTCAATTCATATTTTGAAAGGCATAAAGGAACTTTAATATTTTATTCACGCAAGCAAATCCTCTGTATTCTATATTTGTAATAGCTAAATGCCAATTACCATCGCTCAACATTCATCTTCATACACCGTTATGCCAGGTTATTATAATACGATTGCATTAATAATAAATTTTAATTTTTTGCATCTATAATGTAATCGAAAATAAAATAAAAGACAAAACAATTATGAATTAAGATTATATTACTGAAAACTTGACTTTTTTGTAATATTTTTGGTAAATTTTTGATAAACAAAATATTCATGTAAAATGACATTTATAAAAATCAGATAGAACTAAAGACAAAGTGCAATATCAAAGTATAAAAAAAATTAATGTACAAGGCTTAGCAAAAGGCAGTTGAATCCATTAAATTGTATTGACATATCATCGCTAAGATTAAAAATTTAATAAATAAAATATATTTATATTGAATCAATAAAGTTTGGATTTCTAAATGGCTCTAAAAAAATTGTGTTTTTTTAGAACGTAAAGTATTCCGACTACACAAAATACGTTGTAATAAAAAAAGTTCAGCTTTCAAATTTGGAAAGGTTGATGCCCGGCTTCGAGCTTACTATCAAGCAATACATTTGAATAATTATAAATAAATTGAATAAGAATATGGGCAATACCGTATCGCCATCCTACCACAAATTCACTTTTTCATACCCTACACACCATTAAGCTGGAATTTACCAATTTTAGTAGGATAACGATATTTATGAAACACGTGATTTTTATGCTAATTATATGAGCCAATTATCATCAGAATGAGCACATTGTTTATCTAGCCAATTGGAATTGAGCTGATATGATATTAATTGAATAGCGAAGAAAATATTGGGCATCTAACTATGCCCACTGCAAATCTATAGTTAATTTTATTGCATATGTGAGATATTACGTGTGACATTATTGTCCCTATCGTTGAAAAAAATGTTAATTTATAACTGAAATGAAATGCATACATTTTATACGAAATTTATAATATAATCCCACGTTTTTTCGAATTAAACTTTTATTTTGCAAATTATAATTTGCAGTAAAATTTATTTATAATAATAATTTATAATAATTTATATATATATATATATATATATAATATAAAATAGTATATATTAAACGTGAATAAAAATAATAAAATCATTTTTAGTCAGAATAAAATTGTTAAAATAGTTATTTTATACACAATATTTTTAATTACAAGTATAATAATATAAATAGTATCATAATACATTTACAACTGCAAAAGTGAATTCATTAGTCTGCCCTCATTTTTAAATTCTTAGTTTTAGATCTTTTCATAAAAAATTCTAATTATGAAATACCACAAAGTATGCTATTGTAGGATTTTGAGAAGGCACAGGAGAAAAAAAACAATATTAAATTTATTAAGTAAAACCTTCTACATTTTAAATAATATAATCTATTAGTAAAGCAAAATTTAGTTGTAAAATTGAAAATTTTCTAATGATTTAAGAAAATAAGATCAATACTATTACACTCTTAAAAAATTAAAAAATGGTGCAAAACTTGGACATCAAGATTTATTATTTTATTTTACATCAGGCACATGGACATGCGATGCACACACAGCGCACACGTACGCATGCATGCATAAGAAATGGTGATATAATGAAAGACAATGCTCTTTTTAAAATTAAATAACATTGTTTAGAAAGTATATTAATAAATTATAATTAAAAATTAATTGTTTTAACAGCTATAAAACTATATTATTTTGTATTTATAAAATAATGTGCAATTGTAACTTTTATTTGAAAATATATATACCAAAAAAATTTTTATTTATTACCACTTGTCTTATAATTACTATTATTTATAATAAATTTATGGATTATTTCTATAATATATAGTAACTCTATTTGTAAAGTTCTAAATAAAATACTTTCTATTATGTGTAGCCACGAAATTGTCACGAAAATTGAAATTTTCATACAATTTAATAAATTTCATGATTATAAAATATTATAAATATTCGTAAAAATAAATATTTTGTAATTGTCAGATAAATAATACATCAAATATTTAGTTAATGCACTGGGTGCCGCTCATCAAACATAACATCAGTTGAATTTGAAAATCTGCGGCGGTCCACGATTTCAATTTCCACGTGTTCAACATAGTTAAGAGAAGAGTCAAAGGATAATGATATGGTTGTCTTTTGTTTACATACTGTGGAACTGAATTTTTATATCTTGGAAAAAAATGTCGAGTAATATTGAAGTGGCGATAAAGGTGCGGCCGTTATTAAAGAAAGAAAAGGAGGATAATCTAAATATTCAATGGGATATACGTAATTATGTTGTTACAAGAACTTCTGTGCAAAGTATGAAAAGAAAACGTTCCGAAGCTGAAAAATTTTATTTTGGTTAGTTTCATTGGTATTCTGATTATACTTTTATACTTACATTTATGTAATTATAAAGCTTTATCTCTTATAATTCTTAGATACATTCTAAATTAGTGATAATTGAATCGTATTTTGAACTTTTTTTCCCTTATAAATACAAAATTTCTTAATGCGAAATCTGCATCTGAAAATCCGTTTGATTATTTTAATTTGTGTTATATGAATTAATATTTCACAGATCATATTTTTGATGCTGAAAATACGAACTGTGATGTTTTTGAAAGAATTGTAAAGAGAATAGTTAGCTCTGCAGTAGATGGCTATAATGGCACAGTCATTGCTTATGGTCAGAGCAACTCTGGAAAAACTCACACCATGTTAGGAACTGCCAACGATCATGGAATTATTCCACAAAGTGCAAAATATATGTTTGATCTTGCTAAAAAATTGCAGGATCGAAAATTAACTTTTAAAGTATCCTATTTTGAAATATACAACAACACAGTGAATGACTTAATAGATATTAATAATACCAATCTTAAACTCAGACAAAGTATAAGCAATCTCGTGCAAGTTGTTAGTTGTAAAGAAGAATTAGTAAGTGACTCTAAGAGTATTTTAAATATTATCGCAAAAGGTGAACAAAATCGTAGAGTACGACAAAGCTCAATGAATAACAGAAATGACAGAAGTCATACTGTGTTGAGGTAAACTACATTTTATTTTCATTAATTGTATGTTAATATTATTTAATATGTAAGTTTTAATATTTAATTTTCAGGATAAATATTGAAAATAAAGATAAAAGGAATAAATATCACTTACATAATCGGTTTTCTCAATTGAATTTGGTAGACCTCGCAGGTCATAAAAGTCTTAGTAATTATCAATCTAAAGATGATTGCCATATAAATATGTCATTATCAATGCTTAGCATTATAATTGTGCAATTAAATAGATTCTCAGATACTGAAAAATACATTAATTTTAGAGAAAGCAAGCTAACTCAGTGTTTGCTTCCCTCCTTTGGAGGTAATGCTCAAACTGCTTTCATTTGTACAGTTTCTCCAGTAGCAATAGAGGAGACACAAACTACTTTATGGTTTGCATTTAGAGCAGCAAATGTAAGAAATAAACCTAAATTGAATATAATATTATTTTACAAACTTGAACTTGTAACGAAAATATGTAGTTTTCATCGTTTTCTTAAAGTGAAAATGAAAAGATTACTTGATAAACTTATTCAAATACAAGAAGAAAATAAACTAACTTGTCAAAGTAATCCATCAAACTGTCGTATATCACAAGTGGTAAGTATTATAATATATTATTTAGTCAATAATAACTTCAATCTAATTATTACAAAATTTCAACTTATTTGAAATATTTTATCTAATTTATGATTAATTCTTTACTTGAATAATTATTTTTATAATTTAACGGTATACTTATCTTCATAAATCAATTGCAATATATTCATTTATATTTTGGAAACATCTGTTATCCTTTACTTAATTTAATATTTTATAAAAATTGTTGAATGAAATAAAAATTAATGTTTAACATGCAAAATGAATTTGAATAATTATTGAATGAAATATTTAATGAAAATAAGAATGAAAATTTGATAATTTTATATTTAATTTGCTTTATTTAAAATAAAAATATAACATAAATTAAAAGCTGAATATTATAAATTTTAAAAAACGCGTCTTAACATCCAATTAATTGTAAAAACATTCGTTCTATTACAGATGAAAATAATTAAAAATAATAGAAGTAAATTTTCTTTGGATTTAATTGTACCAGTAATAAATGAAGATGATGTATTTTCTGCCTTACAGCAATTTAAAAGAGATCTTGAAAAACTTCATGATAAACTTGCATTTCTAGCTGATTTTATTACAACTAATGAAAATATATTAAGTCTGTTACAAAGTATAGAGAACGATTTTGATCATCTTGAGCCAAAAGCTGTTTTACTTGAAACATTCATCGATATTTTAATTAAAGACTGAAAATTATAATTTAAATGATATTTATATTTCTTATTAAAGTTAATTTAGAAAAAGAAATTTTTTTCAATTTCTATAAATTATGAAAGTACTAGAGTTTAATTTTTTGTAAAGTTAGTTATAGTGTCATAATTTAGTTTTTAATTTATGTAGATACAAATAAAGAATATATATATAAGTTTTTCTTAATATATTTTGTCCATTATTCTACCTAAAAATAAGTATTCATTATGTGTAAAATACGATAACATAATTTTCTACTTTTATATTTAAAGAGAAATTGAATTAATACTATAAAAAATTCTAAAGAATAAAATACTTAATTAAATAATTTAAGTTGATTTTGAATCATAAAACTAAACAATTACAATGAATATAATGGTATTTATTCAATAACATCACATTTACGCGCGAAAGAGAATAATGTATAAATGAAAATTTTTCCATCTGATAATATAGAAATTTTAAATGTATAAATTATTATAAGTAAATTATTCAAATGTTAAAAAATTCCCGCGTAATATAATTTGGCAACGTCGCCCATTTATTTTTTATTTCTCATTCCTCTTATGTACTCCCACGCCTATCCGCAGTGAGATGACGTTTACCACCTTTTCTAATTTGTGATACGACACGCTCGGTAAAACACGGCTAAAGCCTTATAATTTTTTAATTTTATTTTTGACCAAACGTTTGATTCAACGCATATCTTACATCGCGTTGAACAAGAGAAAAAGTTGCCCTCGAAGCAAAAAATCCAACATTTTTTTTTCACCAAAGGTGTCAAAAATAGGTAACGTAAAAAATTGGTAAAAAGAAAAGGATTGGCTAGCCGTACCAAGTACTTCTATCTTGCTTAGTCAGCCGCCAAAAAAGTCTTCTGTTACTCTTCGACTGTGGAGTGCCGACATTAAACGAAAATTAATATTGGAAGCCCACGACACCGCATCAACGATGTAAGAACATTGCTTTTTCATTTGATCGGTCAATGATATATATGATAACAACTACTAACTCAATTTAATTAAATTTTTACCTTTGTAAAGATGTAACAAACTTACTGTAGTTGACACGATAGGTAAATCCTTTGTAGGTTATGTTGCTGAGAGAGCAGGTGTAATGGTTGCAAATAAATTGAATAAATTTTCAATTTGTAGTAACGAACTTTTGTATAAGTTTATACGTTTGAAAACTTATAATTTACTTGTAATTTCGAACTAAGAACAAATGCGTTTAAAAATATTGTAAAACAGGCGTTGTATAAATTTTCATTGTCAATTCAACATGAAATTATTATATTTCTGACATAATGAAATATTGTTGGTAATATTTTATTACATTTGAGATTTAAAATATACACCTAACATGCAATGTTTTCTTGTTTGACTCATATTTTATAAATAAAATCGTGTTACAAATTCCAAAAATAGTGTCTAAATTTTCTTGTCAAAATTTATTCTTTTTATCTTTATGGTTAAATATTTCTAGTTATTTAATTATTGCATTTATAAATGACTCATTATTATATAAAAATCCTTTGTATTATTTTTAATTTTTGTATTTATTCTATAATTTAATTTCATTTAAAATTGTAAAAAATTATATTAACCATATGTTTCTATCTGTCAATATATATGTAAAAGCTAACAATATAATAAATATTTTTATAAAATTTATATATCGGTGATTTTTAAGAGCATTTGCAGCATATATTATAGTACAAAATAAATTAAATTGTTCATTCTGCATTTACTATGTAGTATAAACAATCATAGTTTTAAAATATATTTTAGAATATAAATATATAAGATTAGATATAAAAGGATAAGTATATATTGGTATTTAAATAATTGAGATAAAATACAAAATATTAATAATTCTTATTTAATCTAGTTGCATATAAATATTAATTAGATAATATAACAAAATTATATAAAATATTTTCCCATGAAAAATTATGTTTGTTATAAAAATTGTAAAAATACTAAAATGTAATGAATATAAGTATAAATAAAACTACATTTTTATTTTAGAGTTAAACAAATAGCAGTACTATGGGTTTAACAATTAGTGGCATGCTGACTCGCCTCTTTGGTAAGAAGCAAGTTCGTATCTTGATGGTGGGTCTTGATGCTGCTGGTAAAACAACGATATTGTACAAGCTGAAACTTGGAGAAATTGTAACAACTATACCCACGATTGGCTTCAACGTAGAGACTGTCGAGTACAAAAATATATGCTTTACGGTGTGGGATGTGGGTGGTCAAGACAAGATCAGACCACTGTGGAGGCACTATTTCCAAAACACTCAGGGGCTGATCTTTGTGGTTGACAGTAATGACCGTGAGCGTATAGCCGAGGCAGAGCGTGAACTTGCAAATATGTTGAAAGAGGATGAGTTGCGAGATGCAGTGCTGCTGGTATTCGCCAATAAGCAAGACTTACCGAATGCAATGTCAGCTGCTGAGCTCACAGACAAGCTTGGTTTGAACTCCTTAAGAGGACGTCATTGGTACATTCAGAGTGCCTGTGCTACTCAAGGACATGGATTGTATGAAGGCCTCGACTGGCTTAGCAACGAACTTGCCAAGAAGTGATGAGGCATCCACTTGTTTTCGACCTACTTATGTGTGTGTGTGTGTGTGTGTATGTGTGTGTGTGTATAATTTTGAAGATTTCCACAAATTAAGAACACTCTTTTTTAATAACAGCAAGTGCATCATGGATTTTGCATTCCCTTTTAAGAGGACTATATGGGAAAAATCATTTAGAAATTTAAATTTTTAAATAGCTTAAGATTTTTTATAAATTGCGTTATTACTAAAATTCATAAATTAAATTTTTTTATTAATTTAAATAACTCTGTCATTTATCAAAAGCTTATAGAATTTTCACTAATATATAAAGCTACACTTTTCATTTACATAGATTTAATTATGCAATAATATATATCTAAAGAACTAAACTATATTATTGGTTTTATAAATACAAAAGTAAGAATGTTGTTTAATTAATTTTTCTAACATTAAATAATTTAACATTTAAATATTAACTTAAATTGTTGTATATACTGCTAAATTACCTTAACAATTTCATTATTTATAGACTAAGACATTCCCTAAGTTAAGTTTTTTTTAATAAAAAATATTTTTTAGCATTATTCTTAACATAAAGTGTGTGCTTTTATATATAAATAATAATTCTGAAATTTAATCGAAGATGACTTAGTTAAAATATTCTACTTTTTAATATTACAATATAAAACCATTGAATAAAAATTCATATATTTATTAATAACAAATGATATTATGCACTTAATATATTAAGTCATAAATTAAGTCAATCAAATATAAAGCAGATTTTAAAACAATATAATTTAAAAGAAATCTAAATCGCTGATAATATTATTAAAATTTTAAAAACTATAGACAAACATTGACTTATAACAATAAAAAAAACAAAATCTACATTTTTATACTATGTATAAAATAATTTGAAATAACAATAATTCATGTGAAATTAAAATTACTTATTTCTGAATGATTTTTAAAATGTATTTGTCCTTGAATATAATAATAAATCTTGATATAGTCTTTTCATCTATGGAAAAAAAAAATATTAAAGCATTTTCATATTTTGTTGATGTGGGTAATAGCAAGGAAAACTTTATTGAAGTGAAGGTGTATGTATTTCCTTTTTTTCTTATGTCTTACAAGTTTTTTTGTTTCAATGAGGGAGAATCTAGATGCATCCATATGTGTTTTTTATGAGAATGATTATCATGAACGATGTATGAGCATGAGTCTCTTTTCTCCTACACAATTTATACATTCATTTTTTATAAGAATAATTATTTGTAAATTAAGAGGAACCTAGTTTATAAGCCGAATGTATTGATAATGAGAAAATGAACTGACATAACTGTCAAGACATTTTCATACACAAATAGCTTTGAGGCGAATAAATGGATTTATAAATTCTCATTTACTGTTCTTATTAGTAATATCATGAACTGCAAAATTATTTGATAAATTATAATTTTTTAAAAATTAATAAAAATTAATCAAAATCATTTATGCAATGTTTTTTTAATAAAATATTATTTGTTATGTCATTTATCTTGTTAAAATAGAATAAAGACAAATGGAATAAAAAATTTTAATTAGAATAAAATTTTGTTAAATTTATTAAATTACATCTATATTTTCTTAAGAAGTATTATAAAATAAAAATTTGTTTACTTTATGAACAATGAATAAGAAAGATCGTATTTTTATTTTGTATTAAGTTTTAATGAAAATGAAAAATTGTATACTTTACTGAATAAAAAAATCTAATTTTTAAAACATGATCATATAAAATTTATAATTGAGTGATTAAAAAAAAATTTTTAATTCCTTTTTTTAATATATTGAATGATATTCTAAAATAAACATCTAACTATACTACTGATGAAAAGTATAAGTCTTCAATATTCTTTCACATATTTTAATATATTATACATGAAAACTACAATTACAATATATACATGGCATATATTTCATGCATTATATACAATATGTAATATACCAAATACAGTGTAAATAAAAATATGAGTTGTAATTGGATATTCATATGTAATTTTTAAATTGATTATCTTCTGTAATATGTAATACAATAAAAATTATAAACTATTAAGAGACAACTTTATAAAAAGCAATTAAATAAACCTAAACTATACAAGAATTTTACATATGTATGTTTATAAATAAAAAATTCCCTTTATATATAAGAAATTATTTTAAAAAAAAATAATAACGAATGAAAATTTGTTCTCACAAATTCTTAAATAAATAAATAAATACATGTATGGTAAAAATAAATTTTAAACAGTAGATATTATTAATTTTTTATATTTTGTAAACAAGTATTATCAAATTTACGTTTACATTAGATAAAAAATGTACAATTATTTTATTTTACAATTATTAGATTCTTAATGCTATCTTTTAAAACATAATATAAATATATCTTTTTAAGTCATCTAAATAGAAAAATTAGATAAAAATTTGTATTTTAAATACTTGAATTTCTAAAAATAGCAAAAATTCCATAAATTTGTACAAATGCATATTTGATTTTATAATTACAATTTGTAAACGACTATATAAAAATTTATTTTCACTATAAATATGAATATTTTCTTAAGAAGAATATTATTACAATATAATTAATATAATATAAACACGTTTTTTATTAATTAAATAGATAAAATTAGATAAAATAAAGTATAAAGTAAAGTTTTTAGAAGGATAAAAAATATTTAAATAAAAGAAAATTTTTCTGTTTCTTGATTTCCTACATTATTCTAAAAAATAACACTTCTAGTTATTACATGTTCAACAATGTTTAAATAATCGAGTATTATGAGCTAACCATTTTATATAATAATCTTTACACACAGTTTTCTATATTATATAGAATAGCACCAACATATCTATATGTTTGATAATATCAGTAGGACATTATAAAAACTTTATTTCACCTGCAATTGTTTATATAACAGAAAATTAATTTTTATAAATTGTATATAATATTATTCAATTATTTAGAATCATGGGAAACTATCTTTGTAATAATAATTGGAACCTTTTTTTAAGTGCAATTATTTTTAATATGTAGATTTGTATAATATATAAATATTTTAATTATTTTCCATATAAATTAAATTAATGTCATAAAAATCATTAGGTAATGAAATTAATTAATAGAACTTAATTGGGTATATATATTTTAATTTTCTGTACGCTATGAACTGTTTTTAAAACAATAGCTTTAGCAATCTTTTGATTTTACGTGTAATGTATACATACATTTGTTTCTTATTTACAATTATTCAGACCCTTAAGTAGTTTTGAGAAATTATAAAAATAGAGTTAATCTCATGAAGATTAAAAAATTTATTATCCAAGTTACGAGTAATAATTAATAATTGATATTATAAATTATTTGTAAAAATCAAATTCAATGCAGTTAATACACTTATATTCTGTTTGAGGTACAATTATTTTTAGCTATTTATAGCAGTTTTTTATAAGCAAATTTAATTAAAATGTTTAGAAATAGAAAATAATGTAAAAGTTGGTAAAGAAATTTAATAATATAAAATATATATGTATTTTTTTATATTATTATAATTTTATATTTATATTATTATATTTTTATATTTTATTATTATTTTATTATTATTATATATTTTATACAATTATAAATTTATATTATATTATTATTTTATAAAATATATATGTAGATTTTTCTATAAAATTTAAAAAACTATTAAGTAACATATGAATACTTATTTAAATTTATTAACTGTATTATTCAATTTCTTAATAAAATTTGAGGTATAAAGGTTGTTTTAATTTCAAAAAGACAACTTAATTAAGTAAAAAAAAATTTGTTTAACTATATAATCATAAAGTTTTTAATAGTCGTTGAGAACATTGACGATATTTACATTTTTGTTGATACGTCGAAAATGATTCAGAATTATTTTATTAATCGTGTTAAAATTAAAAATTGTAAGTTAATATCTTATTGAATAATTCTATACAATTATAAAGATAATAATTATAAATCATAAATTAAAATTTATAAAATATTGGAATAAATGACTAAACTATCTATTTCGTATGAATTATTAGACTTGAAAAATTTCTATATAAGCATTTTAAAAAATATACGATTAACAAAAATTTATTTAACTGAAGAGTAATTAAACCTTTGATAACACATTTTTTGAAACTTTAATTATCAATAAAAGATAAGGAAAATACATTCATTCGGTAGATTTAATCGAATAAACTTGTATGATATTATCACTATGACGTTAGTGCTACCGATTATTGGGGATAGGAGAGATTAAGCCACAGATGATCATTCACTTTTCAAAAAATAAAAAAACCTTGTAGAAGCGAACCTTGATTAAGCTGTTCGATGCTATATGAGATAATCTAATAAAAATTCAATTCTCAATAGATTGTACTAAATGTCTTTGCACCAGTTCTTTAAATACGACAAAGTACAAATGATTAAAGAATTAAACCTACTAATTATCGAAATGTAAAATTGTTGACCAAACTATGTTGTATGGGCACAAACATTAACGCTCAGATTTATTTATATCTTTAAATAACAAAATACATTTTTCTGTTAAAGCTCGTTTTTTTATTAAAGTTTGTTAAATCGGTAACTTTGTTTGGTCCAATATCTTACCCCACTGTTCAATATCCAAAAAGTTCAACCTTAAATATATGGATTTAATAAATTTATTGTTCCACGTTCATTTTATTATTAACCAAATATGTAGCGTATATAGAAAAATTACGTATTAAATGAAGAATTGAGTTTTAATATTGTATAACCAAAATTCGTCGCCCTTGAAGTAGTACTTATAAGAATACGAATTTTACATAAAATTTTTAATGATTTCTTCTTTCGTGATGATTCAATTCAGTTTAAGTATGTTCGGATTATTTGCTTAATGTTTCATTTTAAAGATACTCATCTTCGTATGAAAATTTGATTCTTAAATTCTATGACAAGTTTATTAAAATTATTTGAGAAAATTAATTACTTTACAAGTATATATTTATGTCAGTATTAAAAAA